GAAGTAAGTATTTTATAAACCGCTCTCTGACAAATTCAAATTATATGCCCAACACAACCTTTAATGAAGGCAATTATTTCTAGGGCCCAAATCTTGTAAAATGAATGAAATATTACTGACTCAACATAACCATCTTCACAAATACTGTGATGTTTCACACAACTTTCTTTAAAAAACAGTATTTGAACAAATGGCACATCTGGATGCGTTGCAGTGCCTTAGGCCAGAAACATACTCTACGCAAGTAAGAAAGCAGCACTTTACGTAGTCCTGTTGTACAGACTTGGAGTGAGTTTTTGCGTCACTTTTGCAAGCCTCAGTACTCAAGATGGATAGAGTTATACAACAGATTTACTGTTATTTAGGTTGCTAGCTATAAACATGCTAACTCTTTAACTAACTTTGACTTTTTATGACAGGCCATGACAGTAGATGACCTAAAAGAACAAACGACCAACAACAAAAGTGTTTCCAAACTGGTTTTTGCTACATGTAAGGTGTCAACATAGAATTGATGTGCTTAATCAAAACAAAAAAAGATTGCATTATTAGCATTTCCATCATATCCATTATTTCCATTATATCTGGGCGCTTTTTGCAAAAATAGATCCTTGGATGGAAACTTGGCTAAGATGCGATGTTAAAGCTTGCACAACTAACTGCCGTTCACATTTACGTGTTTGCGTAGTGTATGTTTCGGGCCTTATGCTAGCTAATCTGAAAAATAATGCATTTTCAGTGTCAATATAGTTTACATTCATTTAACTATATGTCTGCGATAATAATACAGCCAGTTATCTATATGCCACATGATGTACTACTTAAATTACAATTAATGTATGATTGCCAGTTGTATAATGTATGTTAACATGAGTGCCTTTCATAGCAGGCTTGTGACTTTGTTGCATTGGATGTGTTTACAGCATGTCATGTGATGCTTGCCGAATATCACATTTCTTTGCCTTAACGCTAATGGTTTGAATGTGACCGTTCTATGTAATTTTACTCTTGTCGGTCTCATTCATCGTGGTGCCACGCGAAGGCAACTCTTCACCGTTTCCATTGCACTGTCACACTTTCTGCATGCTGTATGATAAAAAAAAAAAAAAACTTTCAAAGATAAGTAGATCTGTTCAATTGTGACCAATAAGTCAATATCTGATTGCAAAAATACAACGATTCCCAACATTAATGCACGTCTCTGAGCTGAAGGTGTTTTTTCTAAAGTCTACATACAGTATGCTCAATAACAAGCATTTAATTTTGTCTCCCATCGCTTTCTCTATTTATCTTTTCTCTCTCGATCTCTTTTTCTCCTCATCTGACTCTGTATCAGCGGGTAAGTTTAGTTTGTGTTGCCGAGACTTGCTGCATTTTCCACTGTCGATGCTCTGTCCGTGTCTGTCGTCATGCTCCTAAAGTGTGTGTCTATCTTCAGGGGGGTCCGACGCATTTCCTTTCTGTCCATTTAGAGACACCTGCCTCTGCCTTTCTTTTTCATTTACCTGTAAATGTGATTCTCCCCCTCTGCAGTTCTATAGAGGATGCATCTCTGCCCGGAGAGAGAATGTGTGCCTTTATAACAGCCTGTTCTCGATCTGCCATGCCGAGGCCTTTCTCCTCTCGTGTGCGTGTGCGTGCGCGTGTCTGTGCGTGCGTGTGTGCATCGAGTGCCGTATTCAGTAACCAGGTCTCTTCTCTGGTTATGGACTGTCAACTCATTGACTTCTTCCCTGCTCTCTTTTTCTTATCATTTTGTTTTCTCTCATAACTGTTTCTCTCCCTCCCTAGCTACAGTATGTTCAGAAGAAGTCACTCATATGCATTACATTTGACCTGAACATATGCAGTCCAACATGTAAAGATGAGGAGAGATACATCATAACCACCACCACCATGAAGGCCTTATTGCCTTTACAGCACACAGACATGAAAGTTCACGGCCGCAGGACGGTTCCCCGTCGACACGGTGCCTGTGCTCAATCCGGTTCGGTGCTGTTTTTCCATCAAAGAAAAGGTGGTTGAGGAAAATTAGACCTTTTCACACCTGCCAGTTTGAACTGGGAACAACTGGTCTCGCATAGACTTAAAGTAGGCATAAAATGAAAGTTCACCCAATTTATTTTCTAAGTGCACGTTAATGTTCTTATTGTGAAAGATTCATTCCTGCATATGTTAGATTATGTAAATATGTAAAAAGAAAAAAAAAACTCTTAAATCATATCTCAATCCGGTGAAATGACAGACTTCTCTTGTGACGTATGCCAAATTCTCCAGTCATTAAGTCCGTGTAAACCCTTTCTTACAATCAACTGCAAGCTCATATTCAGATCCGGCTCCATCCATTGAACAACCAGTGGACTGAAACAAGTCCCCTACATTTATTTTTATTTTTCGATAATCTGTCACTTGGATGCATGTGAAAATACGGAAGAAAAGATCTATCGTTACATTCGGCTTTAACTGTCACCATAAAGTAACAGCTTATTCAGGCCAAGAGTCGCCCTGACGAACCACATTTTTTAATGAATCTTTTAGATGCTACAATAGAATGTCATGGAAAAAGGAATTTTTCCCCCATTGTTCCAAAAAGAAATAAAAATGTCGCATTTTGCTTTGGCATGGCGACATTTCAAAAAGGTTTGAAATACGTTAGTATAAGTGCTGATCATGCACCTTTATGTTCCAGGATTTATCTTGTACTGGCGTTGATGAAATGGATGGAGAACTGCTCCACGGGTTTATCATAAACACCAACTTCAGTTGTGCATGAAAGCTGCATGAAAAAATAAATAAATAAAATTAAACAGAATGCTAAAATATGTTTCCAACACTAGGAATAAGGCGGCTTGTAAGATTTTTCAGCTTACAGGTTACAAGTCATTTCCATCGACTTGGAAATGACTTGTAACCAATCCACCCCCTGCACAGAACCGGATCAGGCACCATCACCGGCACCACTTTGGTGGAAAAGAGATGTCAGTTTGAGATTTAATTTGTGCAGACAGAAACATATCACTCCGTACAGCATGTACTGTACCTAACACTTCAAGTGGCCTTAGCGTACACCCCAAACATGTGGTTGAGTTACGGAGCTGACCCAACTGTCTCTGCCTTAAAGTCCACCGCAACATCTGCACACCATAAAATACTAAACCTGTACTTGTTCAGTAGCCAAATGCCCTCATAATTCCAACACAGTTCAACTAAACGTAAAGCCTTACCTCGAAATATCTATGAATTACACTGGTCCGAATTTGACGGAACCTTGGAGACGACTGCTCTCTGACATTCAGACATTAACGTGAGAGATATATCGAAACATTGCTGAGGACACACTCTTATGTTACAAGTCTTTCGGTCCCTGTAAAGATAGTAAATGAGAAGAGGCAAGCTAGACATATTTCCCAGCGGAGATCTGTGTAGAAAGCATCTGCGTGAAAGTCTGATGAGAGTTTATGATAGCAGCCTTGTCTTAAAGCGCAAATATTTATCAAGACAAACACGGAATAGGCTTCAAAAGAAAAGGCATTTCTGTTTTCCCTCGAAAGCTCTCAGTTTTATAGACGAGGATCAGGACACAGCAAGGAAATGTCACAATGTGTTTATCTGAGAAACCGGAACTTACAGTTTGCTGGCATATCAGCGTGACTTCACCCTTAGTTTCGTTCCTTTATTTAATCTCCCTGAAAACATTGTCTTTGATTCAGAAACCCAGACTGCGTTTAAAGAGACGAGACAGACCTTATATTAAATTATGGAGTGATGGGAACTTAAACAGAGCATTATATTGGCTTGAGTGTTGCTTATTTAGAGAGATTACATGAGGAGGAATGCTAATTCGTCACACTACATGCTAATTACAGGCTAGTAGTGGGTACGAAAGAAACTTTTAAGAAGAAACTTGTGCATTTAGTGTTCCATGTTGCTCTGATAAACAGATAGTGGCCATTAAAGGACAGGCAACCTGGCAGAGACAGATAAAGCATCTCACTTTCTCTCTCTACATGCCCCTTTCCCTCTCTCTCTCTGTTCAGTTGATTATCTCTAAGCTGGTTCTGTCTTTCTTCTTATCTGTCTTCCTCTCTGTTTCGCTCTGTCTCTGTCACCCGCTCTCTCTAGACACGAGTTATTGGAAGAAGCCAGAAGAAAAGGGTTACCTTTTGCTCAATGGGACGGTCCTACTGTTGTCTCATGGTTGGAGGTGGGCAATACTCATTTCTGGCAATGAAAAAACTATAGATTTGACAGTTAGCTCTTGTTCATTCAATTACTAAAGGCTGGAATACACGACAGTTTTTGCCGATTTACAGTTTAGAGGACGCCAGTTGTGGCGTGTGATGTGAAAGTCTGGTAGTGTGATCCTTAGTCATTTAGTGTAATTTAGAAAGTCAGCAAGTCTAGTGCTTTAAAATCTGTTTAGATGTGATAGTGTATTTCAGACTTAAATGTACCATTTGTCAAAGTATTTTTTTTTTTTTTTTTTTTACAATGTTAACGTACAGTATTTGTGTCTTTTATTAGCAGTTTATTGAAGTCGTCTGAATATTTATAATGTCAGTGAATGTGAAATAGAGGAGATGTGTGATCTTGCCAGTATTCAGGTTTGTTTGGTTTGTGGTCAGAACGGATTTGGATGTAAAGCAATGGCGCCATCTAGTGGTGGAGCTTGGAAGATACTGCACAATAGTAGATGTTCTAGAATCTAGAGTCATTCTAATGCATTCTTTGTACTTTCATTATTTTATATGCATGTTTAATCATGCTACAATGTGTGTGTTCAAAGCTGTGGCTAGGGATGCCAGCGTGGTATGTCGCAGCTTGTCGTGCCAACGTAAAAAGCGGCGCTATCATGTCGGCCCTGTCGGACACCGAGATCCAGAGAGAGATCGGCATCAGCAATCCTCTGCACCGCCTCAAACTGCGCCTGGCTATCCAGGAGATGGTCTCGCTCACCAGCCCCTCAGCTCCCCCTACATCTAGAACCGTGAGTGCACACACACAAACACACTTGGTTTAATTGCTTTCTTTTCAGGAACATACATGTATAATGTACAAAAACCAAACCACCCATTGATTTCATCATTCGGAGTCTTGCATTGTTTGGCAAATACTGGGCCTCCGTCACCATAGTCACTAAACTGATCGTCATCATCAGCTATTTTCAACCCACCTGCAGCTTTATTTTGTCCGGTTGTCATGTTAATAGTGTTCTGCATCGATCTGAGAAACTGGAAACTCGACAGCTGATCTGGCATGGTATCATGTAATGACACATTCACAGCACATCCCAGCAGGCAAACTGCAGCTTATTTATTTGAGGTTTTTCTTATTTTTATGTACCCCACAAAGCATCTCCTGATAAACTACTAACTACACAAAGTCTGGTGCACACTGTATGTCCACACCTGGCTGTCTGAGACAGATTTCATAATTGTATTTTAAAAGACTTCTTTTGTTCAAAGATAAAAACATTGCAAACATTTGAGCTCACTTTTTTTTACTCAAAAGGACCGAGACAAAAGAAAATTGCACAGTGTGTACGCAGCTTAAGGCATCAGCTCATTTTGCACATTAAAAGCAGTTGTCGTCTTCAGCAGCAGTTCCTGTTCCGTCAGTCAGAACAATGTTTTAGGTGCATCCCAATTCGTGTGCTTGTGCACAATTCTATGCCGTTTTGTAGTACAGATAGTGAGTAGTGTGTTCACACTGAAAATTCCAAACAGAAAAAGTGCACTTTAAATACCTGGATGATGCACTTAATTAACCAAAAAAAATGAGGTGTGTAATGTTGGACACTTCATGCACTCAACTGCTTTAATTACATAGTGGAGGGAGAGGGGCTATATATAACATTATAAATTTCATACACTACACGGTTGAGTACATAGTGCAGAAGTACATAGTGTATAGGTGGTCATTTGGGACGGAACTTTTGTCTCCCCTGGCATGCGTTTGCATGTTCAGTGTGCTTGTGCTCTCTGTATGCATGTTTGTCTCAGCGGGGCGGGTCTTGCTAATGATCTGACTGTGATGCTGTAACACTATTGGCTTACAGTGCTGCTGCTCTTCTTCTTTAACACTGCTTGCCCTTCCTGTCGGATTCATCTCTGGGGCCGCCCACATAGGCGTCGGGTAATGTGTGGGTAACCCACGAGGAAATGGAGACTCTTGCCGCCCCCTCCAAAACGGTCAGTCACTTCATCCTTTTGAACTTTTTTCACATAATCCTTTGCTTACACTTACTGACCCTTTTTGCAAAGTTTTTTTATTTCACAGAATCAGTGTTTTTATGTCACAGAATCCCGAAAGTCAACATTAAATCAAAATCAGCCTCAGTAGGACACGGTCCTGATGTTATTGTGCACAATTCAAGCAGCTCCTATTCTGAAATGTTTTTCCTTTGTCGGTCAAAGGATACGGCAATAATAGCAAATAACAACAAAAAAAGAAATGTTACACTTGGGATGTGTGACCTTGAGCATCAAAAAGTATCAGGTCCTAAGTAGAAATGCATCAAATTATGGAAGTAAAATTAGTCATGAATGCAGTTTCATGTCGACTGTGAGCTATGGTCCCTAACTGGGTTTAGGAAGATTTCATCACTTCATGTCTGAATATATATGTGCTTCTATTACATCCAGTGCTAATGGTCTTTAGATGGGTGAACCAGCAGTGATAGAGGCCCACATATCCTATTGAACAGCTCTGAAAAAAGCAAGGCCTAACGGACGTATCGTTCTCACGTTCAAATCGAATGTAATCAGTCAAAAGAGAATAAAAGTAGCACGGCACGGCCTCACACAATCATCATGATTCACCCTCACCAGTGCAACGATCACTGAACACGAGCGTGGAACGGAAACGCTCATGACGTGTCACAAGTACAGCGAAGATGAACGCATGTCGTGTGTGTGATGTATTGTGTTTGCATGTAGATGATTTGATGAAGTCGAGCACTACTTTTTTAGTTTTTTTTTTCATCTATCCTGTGAGCTGTTGCAATACACGTTTAATAGCATTTAAACGGATGCATGTACAGTCGGGTGATCATGTGCAACATACGTGCTTTAAAAAGTAGACGTACATAGCGCAACAATTTGCAGATGTAACACCAATGCACTCACTTTCTTGTGCCTCCGCAGAAGTCAGAGTCAGAGGAGGGGAGCTGGTCACAGGTGAGAGTGTGAAAGTCCATATAGATCTAGTTTATAGAGTCTAATTGTTAATGTTGTCTATATTGTAGACTACACAAAGCAGCTTCTTTAGTCAGAATGGCGTGGTTGTTAAATTCATACGTGTGTCATTCAGACGCTGGCATACGGGGACATGAACCATGAGTGGATCGGGAACGAGTGGCTGCCCAGTCTAGGTCTACCTCAGTATCGCAGCTACTTCATGGAGTGTTTGGTGGATGCACGCATGCTGGACCACCTCACCAAGAAGGACCTCCGAGTGCATTTAAAAATGGTGGACAGCTTTCACAGGTTAGTAGTCCATTAATTTGATTTGATTGATTTAAATTAGTGCTAACTTGACCACGCTTTGATTGCAATGTAAAAGTATTATTAAGATGTACTAATTGGCGTTTAATCAAATTTGCAACAGAACCAGTCTGCAGTACGGCATCATGTGCCTGAAGAAGCTCAACTACGACAGGAAGGAGCTGGAGAGACGCAGAGAGAGCAGCCAGCATGAGATAAGAGGTAGGCAGAAGCCACTTGGAAATGCTCCCTCCGGCCCGTGATATCCCAATAAACAAAAACACACGCTGTGACTTTTTGCTTAGACGTGCTGGTGTGGAGTAACGAGCGCGTGATCCGCTGGGTCCAGAGCATCGGTCTCCGCGACTACGCCAACATCCTGCTAGAGAGCGGTGTGCATGGGGCGCTCATAGCACTCGACGACAACTTTGATTACAGCAGCCTGGCCCTGGTGCTGCAGATCCCCAACCAAAACACTCAGGTCCCCATCCATCCACAGACACACTTAACTGTTAATTTGAGGGAATAATATTGAATTAATACATTTTTATCCCCCCACAGGCTAGACAAATTCTGGAGAGAGAGTACAACAATCTGTTGGCACTGGGAACAGAGAGACGATTAGATGAGGTGAAGCACTAGTTTGTTACATTTTATATAGAACTGAACAGTCGACAGTGGTTACAAATGGTTAGCGAGCCGCACTGCCTACACCGCCAGTGCCGTAAAGGAAACAGAACCTCAAAAATTTGTGATTTCGAACAAATGTTTTTCAGTCAACACAAACTTTTGGAAGATCATTTAGGTAAAACTGTACACTTCTATACGTTGAAACAGAGAATTTATCATCATGTATTTTGGCCATTTGGTGAAAAAACTAACATGACCATGTCAGGTTACAATCAGTCGATCACTTTGAAGTGTGATTTTTGCAGTAGCGTTTAGTCATAGATTCATTCTCTCATGGGGTGGGTTTGGTGGTTTATAGTGTCACTCCTATATTTCTCTTTTTATCTGAGATGTAGATTTTTTCTTTGCCATCCTATGACCATTAACAGCCAAAGTGTTTATTTATTTATTGTGTGACCACTCAGACTCACTGAATGTATTTTTTTTTTCATTCAGAATGCATATAAAAATGAAGTTTTTAAGCAGCTTAGATTGAGAATAGTATTTGTTTAAAAAAAAAAATGAAATGGGTGAAAAAATGAAGGGAAAAGCTAGTTAGTTCATTCCTTTTTTTAACTAACATCATTTAAACATCAAAGCTAAAGGCATATATGTAGTGTTATGTAATTTATTGCTGCA